TCCTTTTAATTCCAGCATAGTACTCCATTGCATGGGATCTATAATAAAATTACATTAGTAGAGGTTTAAATTTTAAAGACTCGTTCTGAATTCTTCATGGTAGTGACAACTTTCTCCTTCTTTGTCCTTTTTTTCTTCTTTTTCAGAAAAATCGTTGCTTATATGTATTTGGTGGCCAGCGATCAAAGACCTATTTGAATGATTTCTTTAGTTATGATGTGGACTCTGATCATGTAGACATAATATCAGATGGCACCAAGAAAGACTCTGGGATGGGTAAGGGCATTTAGTGATTTCTCTCATGTCTTAACTACTTTACGTAGAAAACTATAGCCCATTTTCTTTTCTTTCTAACCATTTTTCACCCTTCCTCCATTTCTTTAATTGAAGTAATTCTGAGTAAGAGGAAAAAAACTCTATCAGCTTATTCAGTTCTATCCATTTGAAAATATGTGAATTATTATTACTGTTGCCTTCAAGGAGAAAGACCATATGTGAATTTGTAAAGGAATTGTTTATGTGTGTGCTTGCTGAAGGTGGGAGGGCAGGAAGGTGGGAGGGCAGGCTTTACAAGAATTAATATCTTAAAAACGGTTTTATTCTATATTTGCTAATCCTTTCCATCTTCTGTTTTCATTATAGTGACCTATATATTAGGCACTAGCATAGTAGGGTATGTCTTTGTTCTAAGGGGGAACTTTGTGTGGTTGGTAATACCTTGTAACTTGAACTTTACAAGTCCATCATCTAAGAAGTTATTCTCCTAGTCATAGGCTGACTGGTTTGCATATTGCCCTGGCGTAGTTATTAATAGTGCCCCATCCATTCTCAAAAGTATCTTGTTTCAGTAATTATAGTTACCCTTCATCGTAGTTGCTTTGCCTGTGGTTACGATACATAGAAGAGTGGCTTTGATTAAGGTCCAATGGTTTAAAATGCTAATTTGAGCAGTAGGGTGAGAAATTAGATCAGCTTGCTTTTCCTTTTAATGCTTATTTATAAAGTAGATCTTTATTGTTGGCTCTTTTGCAAAATGAGGATAAAAACACCTGTCTCATAGATATTATTTCTGGGTGTTGTATTGATTAATACAAGCTTCTTCTAAAATAAACACACAAAAACAACAAAAAAGATGTTTTCTGTTAAAATAGTTGATATTTAAGAAGAAAAACTTTAAAAAAAATACAACAGATAGCATTGTAGTGAAAAATGGCATGTAAAGTAGTTTGACCCTCAGGACTCTGCTCCTATTCTTCCTAGTAGGCAGGAGGCTAGAGGTTTATTCTCTGGGAGAAACAATGCTAGAGGCTCTATGGAGGCAGCGAGGACAGGATAGAAAGAACTAAACCTCTATACTGTATAGTGGGACTTATATCCAATTCCCTGCTCCTGTGATGCCAGGCATATGTCTCTTGGCAGAAGATTGGAATCACCTTCTCTGGAGAAAATGTATGGCCCCAGAGAAAAGATCTCCAGATACTGATGTTATAGACAACCGCTTCCCAATAAAATGGCTGACCCTGCTGCCTCGTCCCAGTACAATGGCCAGTTTCACGGCTCAGTCCCTTAAGTGTTGCCTACCATATACACAGAGTTTTTAATTAATTTTTATTTCTTTACTCTTAATGAACAATCAGTTAAACATTTTTCTGTGTTAGGGCCTTTACAATGAAAGAGAGAGACAAGAAAACAAACCTGAAAACAAATCTGAAGTAATACACTGAACACAAGTAAATAATAATAATCAAGATTGCCTTTCTTAGAGAAAAAAAGGTACTGTGCCCTTTAAATAGCAATCCACAACCTTTTTGGCACCAGGGACTGGTTTCGTGGTGTGGGGTGGCGGGAGCAGAGCTCAGGCAGTGATGCCATGGAAAGTGGCCGTAAATACTGATGAAGTAAATACTGATGAAGCTTCGCTCCCTCTCCCTCAACAACCACTCACCTCCTGGTGTGCGGCAGTTCCTAGTTCCTGAAAAAAAGTTGGCCGGTCTCAGTTTTTCCATGAGGGTGGGGATGAGGGGAAGGAGGCAGAGCTCAGGCAGAGATGTGATGATGCATGGACCAGTTCCTAATAGGCCACTGGTACGGGTACTGGCTGAGGCCTGAGGTTGGGGACTGCAGCTTTAAATGATAATAGAATGCAATGAAAGATCAGAGACTAAGAAAGAGCTTTGGGGAAATAAATTTTGTTAGAATAAAAAAGAAGAGTTGTAAAATCAGTAAAATGAAATCTCCTAAAAAGTAGACAAACAGAGATGGAAATTGGAGAAAATAAATTTTATTAGAATAAAAAAAGAAGAGTTGTAAAATCAGTAAAATGAAATCTCCTGAAAAGTAGACAAACAGAGATGGAAATTGGAGAAAATAAGTATCTTAAAAAAAAAAAAAATCAATCCAGGAAGTCCAATATTGAACCACTAAGAGTTTCTCCCAACAATAGAGAACAAAGAAAACGGAGGAGACAAGACTATAAAATAAATACCAGAAAATTTCCCCAAATTGAAAAGCACTGATCTCCAGATTATAAATGGCCCCCTACAGAAGTCACTACATTGAATGTTTTAAACAAACAAAACCCTCTCTCCCTGAAGGTGCATCATTATGCATTATACATTTTCACATATCAGGCATAAAGAAAAGATTCTAGAGCAAAACAAGGTCACATTTAAAGCAGCAGGGCTTAGAATGATATAGAAATTCTCAGCAACATTAGAAGCTGTAAGATAAGAAGGAATAGGGTCTTAAAAATTCTGAGAGAATATTATCATCAACCTGAAATTCTATTCCTAGCCAGAACAATGAAATGAGGGAAGAAATATTACTTTCAGATATGCAAGGTTTATCAGTGGGGCTTGTTTGCCTGCAAGTAATAGAAAATCCAATAAGCAATGGCTTAAACAAGTACAGAATCCTTTTTCTCACAGAACAAGAAATACAGGGGAAACAATCTGGGACTGATGTAGTGATTCAGTAGTGTCATCAAGGCCTTTGGGTTCTTTATATCTTTCTGTTGTTCTGTGTTTAACCTGAGGTTGTAGCCTCATGGGGGCAAGTTATCTGAAGTATGTCAAACATCATGCCTTCATTCTATATAGGTAAAAAGGAAGGAAAGCAAAACTTGCCTAGAAGGCTCCCAGTGGGCTTCTACTTGCATTTCATTGACTAGAACT